TGTGTGTGTGTGTGTGTGTGTGTGTGTGTGTGTGTGTGTGTGTGTGTACGTCCATGTGTTTAAATACACTGTAGTCTTTCTTCTTATAAAACCCTTGACCTACATTAGCTCAGTTGATAACTCTGGGCTCAAGACACTTTGTGTGTCTGCCACTGGCTTAATCATGTGATAGCTGCTGTTTCCACCCACATAAAGCAGAAGACAAATATGGTGGTTTAAAGTTGTACTGGTATGTCCGGGTCAACACATGCTGTTAAACCTCTTGCTTTATTAAGTAAGTTTTAGCTTTTATGTCTTTTCTGTGTTGTAAAACATGGCGTGGTTTGAACTCTTTGGCCTCATTACAGTTTGTTTGATTCACGTGTATTTTCTCATTTAAGACTATTGGATTGTGTTGTGCTTGCTAGCAGTATTACCCAATGCTAAAGATTCTTCAGATTATTCTAGTTCAGGGTTTATTTAGTCCGGAAGCTGGAGTAAAGTATTTTTCAGTAGCCATCAAGTGTCAGACTGTCTTGACTGTCAATATGGACACTGAAGTGGCTGATAATAAATACAACTCAAAAAAACAGCAAATTAATTGATTAAAAAATGAAAGCAGTGGAAATTAGACTGGAAAAGCAAAGGGCCACGGATCGGACTCGAACTGCTACATTTCAGCCGTGTGGCATGCGATCACCTACTCAACCAGTGAGCTATGCTGGCGTTAAATAAGCCAGTTTTTGTTGGGCAAGTGTGATAAATTCTCTGTATTTATTTTGTTTTTGTTTTTTTTCTCCCAGGTTGCAATAAAGATCATCGATAAAACACAACTGAACCCAACCAGCCTTCAGAAGGTGAGTGACACGTTACTGGATCAGCCGGTGTATATCAGTTTAATGAGCTGGCCACTTAACGTTCAACTGAACTCTAGATTTAATAATTCTTGTAGTAAGAGTGCAGGATTTTTTTTCTTTTTAACCTGTGGCATCCTGTGTGTGCTTATTTGTGATGCCTTAGATTAAAACTCTCAGTTGAGCTTTGTGTGCTGTAGTCATCTGACCTTTTACCTTTTGGTTGTTATGCGGTTAAAATGTGAAAAACACAAAAGCAACAGTTCGGGGAGAATTTAAGCACTGAGGCATCTGCGTTGGCTTTGTCAGTGGTTGCAGGGAAGATTCGTCTCTCCATCTTCAGCTCTTGCAGTGCTGCTTGATAAAAGGCTTGCCTGTCCAGTTTTATGGGTTATTTATATCTTTTGTGAACTCGGTATAGTATATTCATTCAAAGAAGCCAGCGAAGCAGTGACTTTTGCTTTGTGTCATTGTAATGCATCCGTCACATGTGCACTCAGTCCTCCAGAACAAAGCTGGACAAAGACTTGGAGTAACGTACGTCACCGTATGCTTCTGCGGTGACATTTAGGGTTATGTATTAACTACATGCGTTGCATTTGTGTCCATTAATGAGATTAAACCCTTTCCTGTCTCAGCTCAGACTGCTTGCATCTATTTGTGTTTTTGTGTGCGGTGCATGTGTTAATTGAGCACAATCTAATGAAACAGAATCGACCACTGCCTCAGGGCTGTCTTCTGTTTTCAAGCAGTGAAAGTTGCGGTATTTTCTCATTCAGCTATGATGGTGTTTAATAATGCAGCACTGAAATATTAATGTCTTCACTGAGTGCATGATTTTATTATATTTTGCTCCATGTGATTTTATTGTGGTGTCCCCCCCCCCAACCTGTAATTTAAGGTGGACCTCTTAGATAGTTGAGCAGTAAAGTTAATCATTATTCACTGGGCTATAGTATCATACCTCTATTGTCATAATATCTAAAGCGTGACTGGGTAGCTGCTGTGACGTCACCCAGTGGTTAATAAAGTGTGAACTTTCACCATTGACTAACCAATCAGCATACAGAAATATTCCTCCTTTCTGACTCCTGTAATGACCTTAATTTACAAAATTAGCTTCATGTTTTATTCAGTAAAACCAGAAAGTCGTGACTGAGCCCATAAATCATCAGGAGATTGTTTACCAAGGTCAGAGAGCAAAGGAGCCCAGGGCTGTTTTTCCATAGATTTCTATATGACTGCAAGTGTTTGTGCTACCACATCAATCGCCCCCTGTTGGTCACTTTAAAAAAACAAAATGCAGATTTAAAACACTTAAGCATTGGCTATTTTTTCAGACCCAGAGGCTGCGTCCATATTTTTTACTGCCTATGCTAATGTCAAAGCTAGACTGTGGTTTAGACATTGGTTCGGTTATCGGTTGCATGTAGTACTAATATGCGGTTTTCACATGTGAACTCCAGACAGTGGCAGCTGAATCAGCTTTGCTTTCCCACATTTAGCCAGCAGATAGTTAACATCAGATCTTTCTCACTAATGGAAACAGTTTGATTTAGGTGTTGGTTATTTTAGGACCACTGGCTGTGAATTCACCAGACAATCAATCAGACATCACATGGACTTAGTAGTATGAAGCTGACAGGCTAAAGACAGTTGACTGTCTGGTCTCACATGCAGCTTCACCATTTAATGTCTAAAAATTGCTTAATTAAACGTTTGTAATTTAAAAAAATACAATGAGTACTATTAAATACTATGGGTTGTAAAACGTGCTGCTAGTTTTTGTTTGCTCTGTTCTGGAAATGTTAGTTGGTTAAAGAAATGTGCTACTTATTTCTTCACCTTCAGACATCTGAAGTAGGAAATCGTTTTAATAGACTAAAGAAGCAGAGCTGTACCACAAGCTTTTATTCCCCAGATTGGCAGCAGGTTTTTCTGGCTGTTCATTTTGTCATTTGCAGGTTTAACCTTGTGTATTTGTGTGATGGACTCACAGCTGTAAGAACCGTTCCCAGAGTTTAACAAGGGATTTCTTTGTACAGCCTCAACCCTGCTGACCAACCTTTGTCCTTGTTCAATTATGACTTTACTTTATCGTGCACAACAAAAAGCACACTCTCTCACCTCATCTGGATCAATACTGCACCACATACACACATACAAACTGGCCTATTGATGAATTCTCAGCTGGTTAGGTAACTAGTCCAGGCTAGGTTTGGCTCAACTGATAACACAAAGTTGTGTTATTGGTGACGTATGGTTGTCCGTGACTATTGGTCCACTTCGCCTAGATTCTGGCCAGGATGACTGATTGATGACGCTGCTTCTCCACTTGTCAACAAAATGAAAACATAAGTTAGTTGGTATCCCAATCCAAGTCCTCCTATCAGTAATTAAAGGCAATTACTCTGTAAAATTCACCAATTTATTAACAAAAATTGGTGTCTTTTCTTTTTTGTTTTTCAAAAATGTACATTATTTGTATTTGGTGAAAGATAAATAACTTTATTAGACTGCTGGTGGCTTTCCTTTTGCCTCTGACAAAAACCTTTTTTTCAGGGGCCGCAAATAATTCCTCAATGCAGCGAAAAAGACTGTGTGAATCTGGGGGATGAATTTGTGGATTGTGTGTGTCTGCTGGGAACACAGACAGTGGTTTTGCTGAACAGCAGTCATGAGAATGACCGGGCTTTCATAGAACAGAAATTGCCTTCGGTTCCGGTGGTGATACGCCGACTTAATCACACCATTTATCTGCTCTTCAAGTGTTGAATCTCAGATCCTGGTTTTATAAGGCGTGGTTCAGAGCTGTGTGTGTGTGTGTGTGTGTGTGTGTGTGTGTGTGTGTGTGTGTGTGTGTGTGTGTGTGTGTGTGTGTGTGTGTGTATTCTGCAGCCTGGTTGTGGTGTAGTGCTGCATAGCGCAGCTGTATCGGGGCAGGGGCTGCCCGTTACGTCCTGTCCTGTCAGCATTATTGTAGCCGGTGTAGGACAATATGCATGCTGCCAGGTGACACTGTCATGATATCTCTCCATCTCTTTCTCTGTCTGTCTGCCACGTTTCCCCTCACTCACTCACTGCCCGTCTCTTTCTCCAGTTATCTGTGTGTGCTGAAAAAGTGTTGAATTTCATTATAAATCAATTTCAATGTTATGTTCATATAATATAAAGCTCCAGCTTATGATAAATTAGTAATAAGTCAAACTTTGTTTGGGTTGGACAGTTGTGTTGTTAGCAAATATAAAATTTTACTGTTAACATTTACAGGTCTTAATAACCATAGGGGAAGAACCTTTGGTACTTTTCAACATTCTTGACCCCTCATAACTTCCTAAAGACATCAAATATCCACAGGTATCAAAATGTTGGTTTAAAAAAGGCCTTTTATGTGCTGTAACTTGTTTTGATCAGCCAGTTATCACATCTGGTGGTAGGCTCTTTAGGCGTTTTTACCAATGAAGACAGATCAAACATTCAGGGTGCCGGGGTTTCTGTTACTCTACGTCACTGAATTGGTGCATTAAATCGAAACTATAGTATGTTCATGATATTGATGTTCAGAGTTGGTTATGATTTTGGCCTTAGAATCTAACTTGAAGTGGTTTTACTGATTCTGAAGAGGTCAAGTTGGGAGGGCCTGATTGATTTTCCATGGAGTGACACATAAAACGGGAACACTGTAAATAATGTTTTTCATTATTTTTGTGGATAAAAATACATTTTACTTGCTAAATAATGTGGTTCATCAGCTGACATGGTTTAAGTTTGGCGAATGTCCTTGTGAAACTAGAAAATGTCAGAACCTTCACCAATATGTCATCCTTTAAAGGAAAATAAGAAGTAAAGCCGTAGCTCAGAGTGAAGAATATTTGTCAATATTAATCAGGTTTTTTGTCTTTCGTGGAAGATTGATTCGCTTTAGTGTACCTAGTGGAAAAGCACACAATTTGCATTTTAATTTTGACAACATTAATATTCAAAAGTTGTCGTCTTCACAGTCGAGTTGAAATAGAAACACGCACGGGCTTCTTCCAACGCTTTAATTCTCTCCACGAAAGCTCTTCGCTTCATCTCGGTCTTCCTAGCAGCTCACGCTGCGGTGCCTCAATCTATGTTTTGTCAACTGTAGCTTTATGCCCCACTTACCTCTCTCTTCTCCCCGCTGCTCCACTTTCTCTTTTTTCTCCTCTTCGTCATCTCTTTATTTTGTTCTCTTTACTGTAACACTGCGTCCCACTTTTCCTGCCTTTCTCCCCGGGCGGTGTGTTGCAGTAGTAGCTCTACTGTAATCACAGCTGTACTCTTTGCCATCTGTAGTCTACAGTACACTTGTTTAAAGCTACAGGGACACAGGCACTGTCATGTTATGAGACTTTAAAAAGCGTATCCTGCTTCTAGAGAACTGCCAAATTTCCACCTTCACTTGCAGCTGACACACAACAGATCAACCACATGACTGATGCAGGCGTGATAAATAAAAGGATTAAAGCAACAGCTTCAGATTTCATCAAAATCAGATGCATATCTGTCCAACTACCTGAAGTGGCATTGATATATTAATGTGCAGTTAGACAAAAAACATTTAAGCACTGCGTCCTAGACCGTTATATCTCAGGGCGTCTTCTTACTGTTGTAGATGTTATTTATTTTCAGTTACTCTCTGTGGAGCATTTTGTACCTTTCTTAAGAAAAGTGCTGTATAATTAAAGTGTGTGGTTATTGTTAATATTATAAATCCAGGTATTATCTTCTGTTGTTGTACCCGCAGGCTGTGGCCTTCAGCAGATTGCAGATCTCTGCCAGTGTTGCTTCTCTGCAGAGCTTTTCCAAATTACAAAGCTGCACCCTCTGTAAACAGTTTGTTAGTTCAAAGTTTTAGGTGTTTATGGTCTTAGAAGAGATCGTATAATGAGGTGGAAATCATGATGCCAGACTGAGTGTAGCAGAACATTTACTGACATTTAAAACTGCACATTGGCAGGAAAAGAAGAAGGTCTTCC